GACCTATCGTTTCCCCCGGGTAAATCAGTAAATCAAATTAAAAGTCAAATCTCTCACCCTGACGTCACGGACACTAACGCCGACTGTGACACCAGTTAAACGCTTCACAGAGCGGTCAGCCAGTGCTGCCTATTTACAAACCAAGATTAAAGTTTAAAACCTTTAAGAAAACTGATTATAGGTACAAAACTATTGATGGAATGTTGCCCCTGAACTTATGTGACTGATTCACAAAAAAACATGGTAATATTATACTACATGTGTTTAGATACCGGTAGGTAACCCGACCTATTATATCAAGTCGAGGTCGTAATTCCGGCCATAAATTCCTGTACCAAAACACTCTCTGTAAAACGTTTAAATTGTGACACACCTTGACAGCCTCCCGTGAGAAGCAGAATCCATTCTGATTATAAACCATATGAGGAGCGCATATTGTCTGGGTGTGTCTCGCTGCACTAAGACTTACGCCACACTCACAGTTAAGATGGTCGCCCAAACACACTCTAGTGATCTCATGAAATGTGCGTTTTAACTCCCCTGTTCAATTTAAATGTACGTCCTTTTTCAAACATTTTAGTAAACGACTTTTGAAATGTATCATACAGTTGACACCTCGTGATCAGGGGATTAGGATCGAGGGACAACCTAACCCTAACCTGGACTTGTGTTCAAAGATTCACGGGATACTTACGATATTAAACAAATCGGAAGGATCCACTTCATGTAGAAATCGATTCACAAAGTAATAATTTAATATTTATTTTGTAAAAACGCGTTTTCATTTGGTTTGTGTATAAAGTCATAGGCTGAACAAGATGAGAACATATTTTGATGACGACTACCCAAAGTACAACTTTTACCTTAAAGTAGTCATCTGTCACCCCGGGATAATCGTCTGCAACCACGTCTTTCGACATTGGAAAATTAGATGACAGAGATATTCTCAACGACAAGTCAGAATTTATACAAAGCCTTATAGCGTCTAGAGAGAGAGAGAGCACATGAGAGAGAGAGAGAGCACATGTAAATGAGCTTTTGATACGACATCAATATTTGTGTCCTTGTACCTACAGTCCCTTTAATACGACATCGTTATTTGTTACCTTGTACATACAGTCCCTTTAATACGACNTTATTTGTTACCTTGTACATACAGTCCCTTTAATACGACGTCTTTATCTGTGTTCTTGTGCATACCGTTCCTGTAATACGGCATCGTTATTTGTTACCTTGTACATACAGTCCCTTTAATACGACATCGTTATTTGTTACCTTGTACATACAGTCCCTTTAATATGACGTCGTTATTCGTTACCTTGTACATACAGTCCCTTTAATAACACGTCGCTATTTCTTACCTTGTACATACAGTCCCTTTAATACGACATTGTTATTTGTTACCTTGTACATACAGTCACTTTAATATGATGTCGTTATTCGTTACCTTGTACATAGAGTCCCTTTAATAACACGTCGCTATTTCTTACCTTGTACATACAGTCCCTTTAATATGATGTCGTTATTCGTTACCTTGTACATTACCTTGTACATACAGTCCCTTTAATATGACGTCGTTATTCGTTACCTTGTACATACAGTCCCTTTAATACGACGTCGCTATTTCTTACCTTGTACATACAGTCCCTTTAATACGACATCGTTAATTGTTACCTTGTACATACAGTCCCTCTAATACGACGTCGTTATTTGTTACCTTGTACATACAGTCCCTTTAATATGATGTCGTTATTCGTTACCTTGTAAATTACCTTGTACATACAGTCCCTTTAATATGACGGCGTTATTCGTTACCTTGTACATACAGTCCCTTTAATACGACATCGTTATTTGTTACCTTGTACATACAGTCCCTTTAATACGACGTCGTTATTTGTTATCTTGTACATCCCTTTAATACCACATCGTTATTTGTTACCTTGTACATACAGTGCCTTTAATACGACATCGTTATTCGTTACCTTGTACATACAGTCCCTTTAATACGATATCGTCATTTGTTATCTTGTACATCCCTTTAATACCACATCGTTATTTGTTACCTTGTACATACAGTGCCTTTAATACGACATCGTC